GCCTGCTACTTTTGGACTCTTGCTTGCTGAGGTGTTCCTGCGAGTATCTCTGTGGATCTTAGCAAGCTGTTTCTTGATTTGGGATGTTGACATGCTGGCTGATATCTGAACAGGGGGTGGGCCGGAGATGTCACTGCCTTGGTCCTTTCATTGCTGGCTGCTACTTCCCGGCAGATGTCAGGTGGTTTGATACCAGCTAAACAGTGTAATTTCTCCAGTGGTGTGGGGTGTAGGCATCCTGTGATTAATGTAGCATGTCTCATTAAAAGCCACATCTACTGTTTTAATGTGGTGAGATGTATTCCACGCTGAGCATGTGTATTCAGCAACAGAGCAGCAAAGTGCAAGGGCCTTCACTATCTGATTGTGACCCCTAGGTTGTGCCAGTCAGCATTCGTATATTATTTCTAGCACCCAGTGTTTCTTGTAGGTCACAGCACGGTCCAGGGTAACTCCCAGGTATTTGGGTGTGCTGGAATGCCCCAGTGGGATTCCTTCTCAGGTAATCTTCAGAGCTTGAGATGCTTGTCTGTTCTTAAGGTGAAAAGCACATGTCTTCATTTTAGATGGATTAGGAATCAACCAGTTTTCCCTGTAAAAGGCAGTAAGAGCACCTAAAGCTTCGGAGACATAATGTTACCCTTTTCTCATCCAATTCCAGCTGGCAAGTCCACTTTTTTGAAGAAACATTTGGTCTCTGTTGGTTATGTCCATGCCAACCGGGTAAGTTGATAAACTTCGATCCAGCCTTTCTCAAATATGTCAGACCAAAGCTAGCATCCTCTGCAGGTATAAGTCAACCTTACACCTGGAAGTAAGTGGTTGGTATTCCCTCCCTCTCACCCCAATTTGCCATAGAGCTTCTGCAACTTTTCCCATGATTGTTCTTTGGGTGATGGAGAGGAAGGGATAGAATGGAATAGAGAAATGTCTAGCTATGTCAGATGTGGAACAATTACATCATCTACAGAGACCTCCAGAAGATCCTGGTGGATATCAGTGGATGATGTAATCATTTCATATACGACTACTGGGTCATATTTGTCCCATTCTTTCACCACCAAGCAAATGGTGTTGAACTGAAAGGACTGCAGCACCTTACAATTGGGACAATGAATGACCAGTTATAATGTATTATTATTATTATTATTATTTATATTAACTATACCCCCATCTTTCTCCCCGTGGAGGCTCAAGGCAGCTAACAATTCCACACTTTATCCATAACAGGAGCTTTGAGTCTCCTTTGTGGAGAGAAAAAGCAGGGTATAAATAATAACAACAATAATGATGATGATGATGTAGTTAGTCATACAGGTTTCCAGCCAGTGCCTCCAATTATTCCCAGTTAGTATGGCTTGCTGTTCAAGCCAGAAAGTTTAGTTCATTTCACTTGGAGAGAACAAGATTGGAGAAGGCTGCTGTAATATAAAAGTGGGTGACATTTCACCCTCTAGATTTATTTTCCCCCTCCAGATGTATTATACTTTCATCTTTTACAGTTCCTTACCTTTGGCCGTGCTGAATGGGAGTGGAGTTGTAGGCCCCAAAATCTGAGGATATGAAGTATCCCTTAGCTTTACTCTATGAGACTATTCTGTTCTTGTAACCTGTATTCCCATTCCACACAGGACACACTTGGTTCCTGGCAGAAGTGTGTAGCTATGTGCCAGGCATCACTGCAAGCAGGGAAGCGTGTAGTAGTGGACAATACCAATCCTGACCTGGAATCAAGACAGAGGTGAGACTCCACCTGTCATCAGATAATTAGGTTACTAGTTCTGGAGGGTAAGGTTGCTACCACAGGGAAATATGCCTCCAGTTTTCTGAAAAAAACGCTGTTCCTTTTTTCCACCCAGATACATTGAATGTGCCAAGGAGGCGGGTGTTCCCTGCCGCTGTTTCCTCTTCACTGCATCTTTGGAACAAGCTAAGCATAACAATAGAGTAAGTACCTTGCAAGAGGACATTGCTTTTCGTTCCCGTTATACCAAAGGAGAGAAACTAGGGTCCGTTCCAAACAGGCCCTATATTCCAGGATCTGATCCCAGGTTTTCTGCTTTAAACTGGATTATATGAATCCACACTGCCACATAATCTGGGATAAACAAAAAAAAAAAACCTGGGATCAGTTCCTGGGATATAGGGCCTGTCTGGAAGGCCCCTAGGTTACTTGGCTGGAATGGTATCACACACCCTTCCATTATTCTAATTTAACCTCTAATTTCAGTTCTGGAAAAATGAATTAAAATGCAAAGGAATCAGTGCCTTCTCATATTGTAGATGAAACTTAGAAACAAAACAGATGGGTTGCCAACTTTAATGAGAAGCCTCTGAATCTATGTGAAACAAGGAATAAATCATATGTATACATAAATTAAGGGCTTTCATGAGTTATGTTATGTCCCATACATTTTTGTTATTATGTTTCTGAATCTTTTGTAAGAGGTTGATTCAATCTCCGGTTTGCTAGTAAAACTGAATTACTGTGTTGCAAAATGATGCATGTCTAAAATGTGTGTCACCAACATGAAATGTTTGGAAAGTTCTGTTCTAGACCATGGATGAAGCCTGTTTCTCTAAGACAAATGTAGGCAAAATGCAATCTCCATCCTAAATTTTAACATGAAAATGGCCAGTAGTACTCTGAATAGTTTTTGCAGGGGGAAGGAGAGATCCCATTTGAAAGTGTTATATAAAAACCAGACATTATCACAAGGTTCCTTATTGGTGAGGGAATATGGGAACTGTGTGTTACCCTAATTTAGCTCAGGCATGGGCAAACTTTGGCCCTCCAGGTGTTTTGGACTTCAATTCCCACCATTCCTAACAGCCGATAGGCTGTTAGGAATGGTGGGAGTTGAAGTCCAAAACACCTGGAGGACTAAAGTTTGCACATGTCTGACTTAACTTCTTCCCTAGCTCAGTGGTCTGATTCAAACTGGCAAAATTGAATGCACACAGCATTTTATGGCTGTGACATTGCACTTTTTTGTTGGTAAATTTCCTCTTCAGACAGAGGTGGTGGACCTAGGGTAGTACATCTTATGCATTGTGTGTAACAAACTAATGAGATGATTCCATTTTCTAAATGTTTTCTAAGTAGAGATTTCCTATCTTATTTAAAAAATTCTGCATGCAAAGCCCATAAAGAAAGCTCTTTGATTTTTTTTTTCCAGTTTCGGGAGATGACGGAAAAGGGACACGTGCCTGTCAATGATATTGTTCTGAACACATATAAGTGAGTTTCTGCATGTCCTACACAGGAGAGGGTGGTTTGCAGTGAAACAGGAGATGTCATTTCTTGGGATATGCCCCCTGCATAATTAGAAGAGTTGCTCTGGAGTAAAGAGTTGCTCCCTAGAGTTGACCAATTCTTGCACAATGCCCTCGGAAGCACTTTATTCCTCCCGTTAGTGCAATCAACTCTAYTTTATCCTTTGGTTCCCCTATCTAGATATATTCCATTGCTGTCTCACCCAGTGTTTTAATTTTTAATTCCATTAGAATTGGCCCTGCCCATAGTGTTTGACTTCTGTGTTTAAATGTTGTGATTTTATATTGTTGATGTGTTATTTATAATTGGTTTTGCATTATATTTTATTTTTACATTTTATTGCTGTGTTCTGTTATATTGATGTATTGTATTGCTGGGCTTGGCCTCATYGTGATGTAGCATGATGTAATTGTGATATAGCGGCCTTGTACTGTTACTAATGTAAGCCGTCCTGAGTCCCCCTTTGGGGGTAGAGAAGAGACGGGTTACAAATACTAGAAATAAATATGCCACCCCAAGTCCCTGTGGGGAGATGGTGGCGGGGTATAAATAAAGTTGTTGTTGTTGTTGTTGTTGTTGTTGTTGTTGTTGTTATTATTATTATTATTATTAAGCACCCAAGATGTATATTTGCAAATACTGCAAAGTTAACAGAATTATTCTGTGATTTCTGCTACTCCAACAACCAATTAACTCCTATGGCCACAATCCAGTTTCCCTTGAATAAAAATAATTAAGATACATAAGGTTTCATTATTATCTAGGAGGAAAAATATGCATCAGGTTATAGCTGATATTTGTGTGTAGTACATCTTACACAACTTGTTAAAAAAAATTATAATGTCATCCTGTCATGTACCATTTTGCACTACTTTGGGGCCATAATCTGCTATTTTTAAGGAAAAGATTATCTGTACAGGCTCCATTCAGTACTGAAACTTCTTAACTGGCCATCTTTCATTTTGACAGGAGCAAGTATGTGGAGCCATCACTCGAAGAAGGTTTCTCTGAAATCCTCAAGATTCATTTTGTACCTCAGTTTGCAGACTCTCAAATGGAATCACTTTACCGTCTATTTTCAGAAGGATGACAGCAAACCCACAGGACATCAGCACCCTGGCCCCACCACTGAACACCATGTGGGATCTGGTTTTTTGGAAATGCACTGCCTTTGTCAGAAGGCATGCATCTGGAGTGTTTGAGCTCCCCCTGCTGGTCAGAGGGCAACCCCTTGGTTTAAGCATGATTTTTTTGAATATTTTTTGGAAGTAATGCAAAATAAATGTTTTGGAATCTAAATAGTTGTCCTCTTCTTCTCAATGCATTTAAAAAAGAACTCCTCAAAAACATCACTGTAGTTTTTGCTTTAGGGAAACAACCCTGATCTAGGGGCACAAAATAGACTGGAATGAAGAGAGGGGCCATGAAGGCAGTTCCATTTTGTCTCCTGAACTGTGCTTATTATATAATATTATTATAAATATTATCCACAGCCACCCATGGACCCACCAAAACATTACACTTGGAAAGCCATCATCCTCAGACAATGGGGGATTGCCTAAGTAGGTACACTGGCAAACTTCTAATTGTTCAGAAACGAATGCCACTTTTCCTGCCTACCATTATATTGGTATGAAGAAAGACAGTTAAATAATTATGACATCTCCCTTTAAAAAAGGGAAGGTTCCTAGGAGCAACAACATACTTAACTGTACAACAGTCATTTTCCCCAAAAGGTTTATTTTACAAAACAAATTAATAATAAAAGAACATCCATTCTCACACACTCAAACAAAATCAGGTATGCAGAGGCCCTCAAGACGTGTCCATGGTGTCTCCCTCTGAAAAGAAACAAAACAAATGAGGTTTAGAAAGGGAGGAACTGGGTATGAATGATCATAACTAGTTCTTGCTGTACATAGGATTTTTATATACATGTAAAGATTGAAACGTCAGGGAAGGGAGCAAACGTGGCAAGGGAGGTTCAAATATAGCCACAGGAATTGAGGCAGGATATTTAACTGGTTCTTGTCATTTTTGGCAAAAGCATTTATGATAAACCTCAAAAGCAAAACTAAGAACTCAACTGTTGTGTCAGTGAAAAGCCACCTTGTATATTTTTTGATAAAGCGGGGTCTTTTCAAAAATTTTGGTAATGCTTTCTGTACTCCTTGACTTTGCATCAAAAGCAAAAGAATGGCCAGGCTGACCCCAGTGAGATATGAATCAATTCTCCTTCCCCACCCTCTGTGGCTACAAATTTACTCACTGACTTCGTTGAACATAAAGGCATCCTGGTATTCTTTCATGTACTGAGTGGAGCGTGACTCGTCCAGGAACAATGAGTACACACGCTTGATGTCATCCACTTGAACCTCAGTCCCCTGTGGATGAGAAGGGAGAGAGTTAGTGCTCCCTGCAGAAATGGGACCGGCCAATGAAGGTCCTCACGCCGACTCCGGGGTAAAAAGAAAGAAAGCTTCCATATTCCAAGGCAGAGAGCAACAACTAAAATGAAGACAACAGAGCCACATACTCTCAGCTTCCAAACATTCCCTTGCTTTCTATCCCTCAGCTCACCAAGAATTTGAAGATCCTTCTATATGTCTAGTTTCAACATATACCCATAATCTATCCAACAACTTACCAGACACGTGAAGACATCTGCCCTTGCGCTATGCTACTCTGCTGCTGAGTATGCATGCGGTGTGGAACACATCTCACCATGCTAAAACAGTAGACGTGACTCTTAATGAGACATGCCACATTATCACGGTGTGTCTGCGTGCTACACCACTGGAGAAATTACACTGTCTAGCCGGTATTGCACCACCTGACATCCACCGGGAAGTAGCAGCCAATAGTGAAAGGACCAAGGCAGTGACATCTCCAGCCCATCCCTTGTTTGGGTATCAGCCAGCATGTCAACGACTTAAATCAAGAAATAGTTTTTAAGATCTACAGAGACACTCGGAACACCCCAGCAAGCGAGAGTCCAAAAGTAGCAGGCTCAAACCCAGAACCTCAATCAATGGCTGAGACCAAATGAGAGACTCCCCCCTGGGCACACAGAAAACTGGGAGACTTGGAAGGCGCTGAACAGACTGCGCTCTGGCACCACAACATGCAGAGCCAATCTTAATAATCAACTAACAAGCTTACAAATTCTGTGTTTTGTCTGTTTGTTTGTTTGTTTTTGTTAAAAATGTAAATGTCAGCAAATGTCTGGTTGCTGATGACACGATAAATAAATAAATATCCAACAACTTGAGATCATTAACAAAAGTATCAAGTAGCCTTGCTATCAATTCTAATCTCAGTTTCTGACCAGTTTAAAGAATATTTTTACAGGAATACTTATTTATTTATTTACATTTATATCCTGCCCTTCTCACCCCGAAGGGGACACAGGGAAGCTTACATAATTGGTATTAATCCATGTCAGACATTCCCAAACTGCGGCCCTTCAGCTGTTTGGGCCTCCAACTCCCAGAAGCCCTAATGAGCTTGTTCAATTATTAGGAATTCTGAGAGTTGAAGGCCCAAACAGCTGAAGGGCCGCAATTTGAAGATGCCTGTTCCATGCCCAAACAACAACAACAATTAAACAAGATGCTCTTGGTATGTTTGCACAGTAAGACATTCTTGGGGTCGCAGGTCAAGCTGAGAATGGGGGAAATCATACAGGTTACTTTGACATATAGATAACCAGAATGCTGGAAACTGGTCCATATTTTTAAAGTTCCTTAAAGGGCTACTTTCCCATAGGACTCTCCAGGATCAGAGCTCACCTTTCTTTTGCGGCACACCAGGTTGGCTGCTGTGATGAGCTGGATGGCGTAGCGCAGGGAGGTCTCCAGGCCAATCCGAGTGAGCACTGTGTAGGCATCTTCATTCATTTCAACATCTTCCTCTTCACATCTGCAAGGAAAAAGGGATAGCACTTAAAAGCCTCCTCTCAACCCCACAGAAGACACCAAGGAACAAATAGAAATAATAATTGTGAGAAGGAAGATGGATGTCGTAAGGGAATGGAAATGCAAAAGTTCCTTTTCTTGGCAGAAAAAGTACTCTACCAGAACCAGTGTAACATTGGATTCAGACAATGGAGATTAAGGTTCAAATCTCCATTCAGCCATGGAAACTCACTGAATAATCCTCGATAAGTCACACCCTTAGCCTCTGAGAAGGCAAGGTAAAGCCCCTTGCAGCAAATCTTACCAAGAAAACCTTATGACAGGGTCACCTTAGGATCTCCATATGTCAGAACTTTTGGAAAAATGGCATTCATAACTGTTTTGAAAAGAAAAATGATGTCATATCCTTTTGTTAATTGTGAATCTCCATGAACATCTGGAGACTACCTTTTGAAAACCACTAGTCAAGGAAAGGCATGACCCTGTTAGAAATCAACCTTTGAAAAAGTGATGTGCACAAGCATTCATGTAATGGCACACAGGTAACTCAGCTGTTAAATTGATAAACCACATCTTTGAACTGCCAGGGACAAAGACATGCCAGTGCACAAAATATATATATACTTAACTAGCAGTTTTGAAAATGTTTTTTTGAAGTTGCCCCAAACATATACTCTCACTTGAAACCTCTTAGTCTAAAAATATGCACCCAGAGTTAAAAAAAAAAAAAGGCTTCTTTTAAAAAAAGCCTATCTTGTTTACTCACAAACATCTTGTATTAATTCAGCACACTGGCACATTTTTTATTAAAGTTCAGTTATAGACAGGATGTACTTTCTCTGTGTTGAGAACACAGGGCATCATTCTCAATCAATAGACCATGGTCCAAGGTCTTTTGTATACATCTTATAAAAAGTCCAAACTGTATAGCTGTACTCACTGCTTCTCAAAGCAAACATATAGTAAACTGTTACTGCATAAGTCCAAAAGACATCTGATTCCACTGAAGTCCAAAAACATACAGATAAAATGGGACTCTTGAGTCTGAACATACTCACTACAATCACATGTCCCTCCCACACCAAAGAGGTCAGTCGAACTGGTAAATCAATATATACATACAATACAATTTAGCAAATATATACATTAACAAACAAATAGTGGAGGCTTGAAAGATTGCTATTCCAAATAAGAATTGTCTTAAAGGTATACAATAACTGTAAAGCCCTTACCGGATTTTGAGGATCTGTTTAGTTTCCTTGTCACTGTAGGGAGAGGTTGAGATGATGAGCATGCGATCCAGCAAGTCAATAGGGATGCCATGAGGGCTCTGATAGTTGGTGCCACGAATCCTATGCCAAAGAAGAATGCAGTGAAGGAGGGACAGCTGCAGGGCCATTAAGCCAGAGTGAAGCATGGGAAGTACAGAAATCTTTTAAAAGAAAATACAGGCACATAAGGCGAGACCTCAGCATTTGTGGTCATGTTCAGCTCTATTCATGTTCAGCTCTATTCACAAGGGGGCACGTTGCTGCGAAGGTTGTGGATGGGATTTTGGGGGGAATTGAGTCTTTTAAAATGCATTTTAATTGTATTAACTGTATTTTAGCTGCATTTTTAACCTAACACACACAGTACTATTTAATTGTTTTTATTTTTGTATGTGCTTTGTTTTAAACTGATTGAAGTGTGTGGCTCTTTGCCGCCTTGAGTCCCTTCGGGAAGAAAGATAGGATACAAATAAAGTAAATCAATCATCATCCTCATGATCATCATGCCTCTAAAACCCATTACTCATTACTGTTGGAATACAGTGCGCCATAACCCTCTGCTATGATGGCTACTAATTTATTGGACATTGTGGGATTTATATTATCAACACAGCTAGAGGGTTTTTTCTTGGAAAAAACTAAAATATATCATGCTCATACCCTAAATACCCTTCCCCTAATTACAGAGAAAGGAAACATTGCTTCTTTGAATTACAACTCTCTACAACTCAATATGGCTACTGTAATCAAAACAGTAACTGCGCAGTTGCACCCAAGCTGCTTTAAATGTCTCTTTAGCATTAACATGTCCTAACTTTCTGTCAGCTGGGGGATGCTGGGTTGTCTTCCTGTTTGAGCAAGGAACCCCACAGAATTAATGTCCACGCTATTGCTTCAGAGAAATGGTACTTATTCATTTACTGGTCTTGCGTCTATCTCTACCCAGGTACGAACTTGATTTCCCAACAACAAAGTTCATATTTAAAATTTGAAGGGTAAGTGATTGCTCCTGAAGCTAGCAGTAGTGGATAGTTTCTGAGGAGAATAGATGAGAGTTTTCTGAAGGCTGACAGGCTGGAGGTTCGAATTTGGGGAGAGTGTGGATGAGCTCCCTCTGTCAGCTCCAGCTCCCCATGCAGGGACATGAAAGAAGCCTCCCCCTAGGATGGTAAAACATCAAAACATCTGGGCGTCCCCTGGGCAACATCCTTGCAGACGGCCAATTCTCTCACATTAGAAGCGACTTGCAGTTTCTCAAGTCAATCCTGACACAAAAAAAAATACAAAAATAATAACCATAAGCTTGTGATAAAAGAGAAATTAACAATAAAATGAGGACCAAACACAAACAATTGAATATATCTAATTATACTGATAACACAAATTAACTATTTAAACATAAAGCCTAGAAAAGGCAATTAAAATACATTAAAATGACTATCAAGGTTGTTCTAAGTGATGTCAGGCTCTATGACGGGGAGCCATTACAGCAGGATTTTCAGTAGTGAAAGGAAGCATTTAGGTGTCTGACACAGCTTATTCTGTGGCTGATGCACAACAGAGAAGAATATGCCAAGTCATGTATCTTGGTGCAGAATTCGTTTCTCGAGACTATAGCCACTTACACTACTGGTCCCTCACATCCAAACGGCATGTTGTGAAAATCTGTGCTATAGTGATCAGTCTAACCTTGTGATGCCTCGATTGGTAGCCATGATGAGGACAGGTGCCATGTCACTCTCCAAGGCCCGGTTGAGAAAGGAAAAACACTCAATATCCAGCATGTGGACTTCATCAATAAACAGAACCTGAGGGGAAGGGAGAAGAAATCACACTGAATGGAAGAAAAGAACCCTTACAACCCTCCAATCAAAATGGTATGGAAAAAGTGGGCATACAAATATTAATATGCCTCAAAACATAGAACTCACCCCTGGGATCACCTCAGCCTTGCCCTCCTCTCGCCACTCAGCTACTTTGGCATTGATCTGCTCCCGGACCTCTGACTTTATTTCTCCGGTATCACCTAGGGACACACATAGGGTAGGATGGTTATGAGAAATGACTTTCCCACATTGTCAGTATCTCCCCCTTGCAAATATAATCCCTAAAGGTGAGAAGTCCAAAGGTTTTCCCATGCCTGATATAATGCCAACATATATATCCCACTTCTTTTCGCTGACACAACATATCCAATTTTCCAACCTTATCCCTTTCTCCCAGAAGTCCTTCCCCATCCTCATACCGGAGAATAGGGCCAGGAAGCCTTGCGTGCGGCTGTTGATGACATCAATTTCATGCAACGAGACTGTGTGCACCACTTCCTTGCGCTTCTGCAGCTCTCCATCAGGACATTGCACAAACTTTGTCTGACAGAGAAAAATGCAATTAAAGGACTGAAGGCACAGCTTCCAAGCCTGTAAACTCTGAGCAGCATCCAAAACCCTGTTTCTTGACATTGTGCCACAAAGCCATTACATGTTTCTTGGTGAGAAGGTTGGCTTGGAGGACAGTCTAGCTACATATCCCATAACCAGACCCAAAAGGACTACAACAATCCTGAGATCCACTGCTCTCCTCCCAGGGTCACAACTCCATTGTAAATCATGCCATATCTAATTATGGGGAGTTTATACAGATATGAGAGAAATATTCAAAATTAACTAGGTATTTTTAATTACAAAATGTGAACCAAGCACTGAAAGGGTTAAAGGGATGCAATGACTCAGCAAAAGCTGTATTTCTATGTAAGCAGGTGTGCCTGTAGCTTAGTAGCCCTCAGTCTGTGAGAGGTCTCTGTGGAAGAAGAGCCTCAGTGTTAGAAGGCCTCAGTGTGAGAGAGGTGTCAGTTTGAGAGAACCCTTGTTGTGAGAAGGCCTCAGTGGGAGGTAGGCCTCAGTGTTAGTAGGTCTCAGTTTGAGAAGGCTTGGTATCAGAAGCTTTGGTGAGAGAAGTCCCAGGTTGAAGGCCATCATGTGTGAAGCTTCAGTGCGTGAAGGCTGCTGTGTAAATTCAGTGTGAGAAGATAAAGTTCAATATAAGCAGGTGCATCTGTAGCTTAGTAGTCCTCAGCCTGTGAGAGGTCTTTGTGGAAGAAGGGCCTCAGTGTGTTAGTAGGCCTTAGCATGAGTAGGCCTCAGTGTCAGTTTAGTGTGAGAAGACGCTCTGTGAGAGCGAAATTGTTATATGCATGAGAAAGAATCCCAAAGAAACAAAGAAGGAAGTATACAGAACTTTGTGTTATGGAAACCTTGTTCTTGTAAATAGTGCAACCATATTATTTTACTACAAAGAAAAGCCTTCCATGGAAGATATAAAATTGGTCTGTGTATTTCTATTATTTTGTCACTTTTGGCTACTGGTGCTAATAATTTACTCTGCTGTACATTTATGAGGAGGGTCTTTTGTTAATAAACCCACTTGACCAACAAGACACACCTCAAAACCTGCCTGCTTACTGTGAGACATGAAATGGCTGTACAGGACAATGACAAGGCTGAGAGGAGGAGTATATGGCTCAGCATAGCATAGATTTATATGCCAATATTTATACTATGCTGAGGGGATGCTGTATTGAGGCCTAAACCACTCCCCATGGAGATATTTGGGGATAACAGTAATACATTTTCGTTACCCGCCTCCCTTCATGGCTCAAAGTGGGAATGAAATAAAGATATCCTGCATGCAAAACAGATATTCCACCATTCAGTTATGAGCTGTAAAGGCTGCAGTCTGCCACATTTACAGCTCAACCTTGGGATCAGTATATCTTAACCCAACTACCATACCTGTGAACCCATGGCATCGTAGTCTCGTGCGCGAGTAAAAGAACGTCCAAGTTTAGTAATCTTCCCAGTGGCTTTGTCGATAGTGATTACATCTCTGAGGAACAGAAAAAGGAAGCCTTAATACTTTTTTCCCCTGGAAGAAAGGTAACTACAAACTCCAAATGACGACTCCAGAAAAAGAAGGTAAGTTCTCAGGAACTTTAAAAGAATGTTTTGAAGGGTTCACTCTTTTCCCATGTCTGATTTTGCATCTGCATTAATTAGGCTCCCAGAGCACTTATGGTAACAAACCCTCTGTGTCTGGCTTCAGCATCAGGTGATGACAAGCCCTTTGCTATAGAGAATTCAAGAGTCCCGAGACCTGTATATCACCCAAACTTACCCAGCCTGCACTTTTTCTTTGGTCAGTGACTCAATCATCTTGGTGCCCAAGTCATAGATTGTTTCCATTTCAGTTGTTTTCAATGTAAGTTTTCCCACCTTTGCACCCTGCATGTGGAGAAGGAGAACAATCTCTTCTAATAGCTGTTATTTTTAATAAACAGCATGTTGAAGATAGTGCCATCATTACTAGTCAAATGGACATAGCAAAGTCTGTCCCAGACTCTACTTACAGTACCAGTTGCTGGGCGATCTATTTGGATCTCTACCACTTCACCTTCAATTATTTCTGTTTCCTCCCTGTAAGTATAAGAGCACAGATTGTCAAACCAGTTGAAGGAGATAAAAGGTAAAGTAAATAATAGTTCAAACCAGTTAAGACCCTGCTCCTACAAAGCTGGAAATATAACTGAAAAAGCAAGCACAGTATAACCCTTCAGTATAAACTTTTTCAGCCTTTTTTTAAGGCTGAAAAAAACCCCTTCGCTTTTACTCGAGTCAAGGTTACTCATTATTTTACTCTGTTGTTGTTGTTGTTAGTAGTAGTAGTATTACATTTATTATTTTACCCTATTTATTATTATTATTATTACATTATTTTACTCTCTTTATTATTATTGGAAGGATACATGAGAACATTTACATTGAAGGTTAGAATAATGGTTTAATCCGAGTTAGACAGTCCTCTCTTATATTAGTTTTATGTAAATATTCAAAAATATTTAACCTACTGATACCTCAAATTAATGTAATTTTATTGGTATCTATTTTTATTTTGAAATTCACCAGTAGCTGCTGCATTTCCCACCCTCAGCTTATACTCAAATCAATATGTTTTCCCAGTTTTTTGTGGGAAAATTAGGTGGCTCGGCTTATATTTGAGGAAAATTAGGTGGCTCGGCTTATATTTGAGGAAAATTAGGTGGCTCGGCTTATATTTCAGTTATATTTGGGTAATCATGCAAGCTTTGTTACATTCATTCATTCCTACTCTAATCCGTCGGGCGTACACTATTTTATCTGCAATTTTTCAATCTATTATAATCACTTTTATCTATCGAAGTAACATTAAGGACAGCATATACAATTTTACAAAAGTTGAATGCTAGAATACAAGCTATAAACATGTTTTTGGTCAACTGCCAAAATCTACTAGTTTTCCAATGCTCTAAGATCCTGGTTGTTCATTTCCTTATTTCTGGTTTAATTCACCTAGTTCCAGTTTCAACTTCTCAGCCCCTTTCTTTCTTACTGAAGCCACTGAACTAGGAATTGGGATGCGACTCTGAATATTGTTAAACTTGAACACATATCACTTACAGCAGTATAGTCAATGGTGAGAAGTAAAGGAAAAACCTATTCAATGTTTTCTAGAGAGCCACATCTTTACATATTCGTACACGAAATGCCAAGCCACCCATAGAGAACAAAGGTAACCCAGACACTTCTCACTTGATGCGGACACCAATGGAACGGCGAAAGGCCTGAGTCAGTGCTTCTGTCTTGCTCATCTCCAAGGAGAAGATCTCGCTGCCAGCAATGGCTGTGAAAGGTGTGTCAAGGCCCAGCGCCTGTGCCATTCCTGAGAAAGGAGAGCAAAGTTTGCTTAACACAGAGATACAGCTGAGAGCATTCAACTCGAGAAGAGACACCAGAATAGGAAAACCACAAATTTGCAAAGCTATTCCTATGGAGTAATCAGCAAACCTCTCCGGGATTCTGGCATCAGATCCTTACCCATGGCAATGGCAGTTTTTCCTGTGCCTGGCTGCCCAGCAATCAGGACAGCCCGACCAGCAATTTTGCCCTCCTTGATCATTTCCAAGATCACACCAGCAGCGCGACGAGCAGCTAATTGGCCGACCATTCCCTGTGATACCTAGCACGGGAAAACACAGAAGGGGAAGTGGAGAAATAGGAAGACAAAGCAGTACCACATCTTCACCCATCCTCATTTCCACACCAAAAACATACATTCCTCCTACTGGTATACAAAAGTCTTTGTCCTTTTACCCTCACTCTCAATTGATCGCTCTCCCTATTTTCCTCACCTTGCCAATCTACAATCACCAAGCTGTGTAAAAAATTAAGAATCCTTCATGAATACCCATGCCTTTCGTTCTAGCTACTGAATTCATTTTCATTCCCCTTTATATCCCCATTTACACAAATGCAGTTAGAGGGGCAAATCTGTGCATTTTCCAATGTCAACTAGCCTTCTATTTTTTAAGCAAACTGGCTGGAATAAGATAACCCTCTGTAACACCATTTTTGATTCCTGAGTTATGAATGTCATTTCCTAATAAGTTCTATTATTAAAAAAATGGGGAAAAGTTTATTAAACTGCACAAACTTTCTTTTTGAGGGAGGGACATTTTGCTAGAGTTTTCCAATGAGTATCTCACAGATTCTCAACCAATTCAACCTAGTTTGTGGAAGCCACAAAAACGAAGTTTCTGGAGTATAACAAATAATTTCAATGTAAGTACCACTCAATTAAGCAGGAAATAACACTTTCAAACCAGGAACAGGAAATGTTTCAAATTTTGTTACATAAACAAAGAAATGTAGAGTGTGTAAAAATCAGAACCCAGAAAGTTATCTCTTCCACGCACAGTAGCATAGGAATGAGTAACTACAAGCTCCCATATGTTTTTGGTTTACAATCTCCATCAACCCTATTTAGCTAGTCAGTTGTGAAGGATTATGGAGGACCACAGTTGTTTATCATCTACAGTCGGAGACAGGAAAGGCAGTTAACTTCCATGGGATAAACTAAAATATACAGTAAATTCATAGAGAAGAAATCTCTTAGATATTTCAGAAAAGGTCACCCTTAAGTTGCATATGTGTACTTCCTTCACACAAACAACAGAGAGGTCTAAGGTTCTCCATGCTGCTTGTACACCTGGAACCTCCTAGCTTTCTCATCTGATCTGCTCTTATTAACTATATAGGTCCTAATCCAGCATGACACCAAAAGTTACTTCTTCTAAGTACCTGTCGGGGTTCCAATGTGTCATCCAAGCCAAGCCCTCTGATGTGGGAGTGGGCACCTAGAGACAAAGACACGACACTGAATGCGGGTGATGAATCAGTATGCAAATAGATTCAGAACTAAAGCCACATTTAGTCTTATGCTGCCCTTTCACCATGAGCTGATCTTAGTTATCCATTTCCATGGAAGCATTTGGGGGCAAACCCAAGAACAGAAGACCATGGAAACTCACCAATGCGTTCAATTCGTGTGACATCTCGGACTTCAGGGACCTTGGTTGCCTGAGGAAGGAGCGAATACTCAGTGAGATTTACCAAATCCCTGAAGTTTATTTCCCCCTATCCCCATGTAAATCAATTTTTAAGAAGAAACAATACATATCCACAATTAATATCAAATGTACACTCTGGAAAGAAGCTAAACAAAACTACTTTCCCAGAGTCAATAGGGAATCCCTTTCAGTAGCTCAATAACACAAATTTTGGTAGACGTATGTGGAAGCATATAAACACAGAAACACAAACAAACCAGGTTTGTGTAGTGGTAAGAGCATTGGTGTCTAGAATTAATGTCAGATAAGGCTTTTCTGTTCTCTGCAGAATTAATGCCATTTCACCCCAACTGAACTGCCGTGTCTTAATGTTATGGACTCATGGACACTGCAGTTTTACAAGGCCCTTAACCTTCAGTGTCAAAAGATGCTGGTACCTCCCCAAAGCACGATTCCATAGCATTGAGCCATGGCAGTTAAAATGGTATCAAACTACATTCATTCTAACTCAAACCCATCTTCTTAGGCTCCTTCCACACAGCTGTATTAAATCCACATTGAACTGGATTATATGGCAGTGTGGACTCAGATAACCCAACTCAAAGCAGATATTGTGAATTATCTTCCTTGATATTCTGGGTTATATGGCTGTGTGGAAGGGCCCTTAGATGGTTTAAAACCGGACAGCAGGCTTTACACTTGTGGGTCTACTTTAAATGTTAGTAGCATCTGCAACACTGCTGCTGAGAGTCAAGTGCAAAAGATATATTTTTGGATGAATGAATTCTGAATCCAGAAACTTGATTTTTTTTTTCAAAAGAAATGAACCCACTGATTATCTGAATCCACACTGCCATGTAATCCAGCTCAATGTGGATTTCACACAGCTGTTTGGAAGAGGCCTGGGAGGACTAGACAAGTATACAAACCACTTACGCTATAATATCTTCCTCTTTGGAAGAATCTATTATTATTATTATTATTATTATTATTATTATTATTATTATTATTATTATTCTGACACAAAAGCACAGTATGTCACAGCAAACGAGATCTATATGCTGGATTTCGTATCAAAAATCACAAATCGAACACTTCCCAAGTGTCTAGGACTGTGTGATGTATTTTCGAATGATGCACACAGATCCAAGTAAGGTGGCCTTTTGTAGTTGATAGATCGTGATTTTGTTGATGTTTATTGTTTCCAAATGCCGGCTGGGATCTTTTGGCACGGCACCCAGTACGCCAATGACCACTGGGACCACCTGTACTGGTTTATGCCAGAGCCTTTGCAGTTCAATTTTGAGGTCCTGAGAGCGGCAGAGTTTTTCCTGCTGTTTTTCCTCAGTGTAACTGTCACCTGGTATGGCGACATCAATAATTCAGACTTTTTTCTTTTCCACAATCGTGATGTCAGGTGTATTGTGTTCCAATACTTTGTCAGTCTGGATTCGAAAGTCCAACAGTATTTTTGCATGTTCATTTTCCACAACCTTTGCGGGTTTATGGTCCCACCAATTCTTTACTGCTGGCAGGTGGTACTTGTGACATAAGTTCCAGTGAATCATTTGGGCCACAGAGTTGTGTCTTTGTTTGTACTCCATCTGTGCGATTTTCTTGCTACAGCTGAGGATATGATCTATGGTTTCATCAGCTTCCTTGCACAGTCTACCTTTTGGACCATCAGCTGATTTTTCAATCCAGGCCTTAATTGCATTGGTTCTGATTATTATTATTATTATTATTATTATTATTATAAAACTACATTTATACCCCACCCTTCTCTCCCCAATTGGGGGACTCAGGGCTGCTTTCAGACCATGGCATACAATGCCGCATTACACATATAAAATATATCAATTTAAACAATTAGCATATCAATTATCAATTAAAACATACGGTACTAAACGTGACATACCAATTAAACAATTCAAATATAAATACAAGAAGAAGCTTCAAAGCAAACATTCAATCCCAACCAAAGTGGGCTGATGACATATCAATTAAACAATTCTATAAAAATACAATAAAACATCTTAAAAGTAAACATTTAATCCCAACCAAAGTGGGCTGATGGAATAATAATAATAATAATAATAATAATAATAATAATACTTTATTTATACCCCTCTACTATCTGCCAAGGGACTCGGTGCGGCTTACATGAGGCCGAGACCACAATACATCAATACAAGCAATAGCAATTACAAAACAAAACAAAATACAAATACTAATACAAAGCAATTAAAATAAATCTCATACACAAAACAGCATAAACATTGAACAGTGGCACAAAACACATTTAAAAACTATGGCTGGGTCAAATGTAATTAAGTTAAAAATAATGCTGGGCATGAACAAGGCAGAGGAGGTGGGGCGTTGGGGAAACGTACAAGCAATCCTAAATTAGTATAAAGTGCTTTTGGAGGACATAATGCTAAGGCAGAGGTCCTCAAACTTTTTAAGCAGAGGGCCAGGTCACAGTCCCTCAAACTGTTGGAGGGCTGGATTATAATTTGGAAAAAAATGAATGAATTCCTATGCACACTACACATATCTTATTTGTAGTGCAAAAAACTCACTTTAAAACATTACAATAATTAAAATGATGAACCATTTTAACAAATATAAACTTATTAGTATTTCAGTGGGATGTGTGGGCTTGCTTTTGGCTGATGAGATAGGATTGTTGTTGTTGTTGTGTGCTTTCAAGTAATTTCAGACTTACGTTGACCCTGAGTGAGGGCCAGGTAAATGACCTTGGGGGGCCGTATTCGGCCCTTACTTTGAGGACCCCTGTGCTAACGGTTCATTATTCTGGGAAGGCGCACTGGAACAACCACGTCTTCAAGCTTCTCCTAAAGCAGTGGTTCTCAACCTGGGGTCCCCAGATGTTTTTGGCCTACCAGAAATCCCAAACAGTTTACCAGCTGTTAGGATTTCTGGGAATAGAAGGCCAAAACATCTGGGGACCTACAGGTTGAGAACTACTGTCCTAAAGACTGCCAGAGTTAGGGCATACCTGATGTCCTTAGGGAGTGAGTTCCAGAGTCGAGGGGCCACCACCGAGAAGGCCCTCTCTCTTGTCCCCACCAATCATGCTTGCGATGCAGGTGGGAGCGCGAGTAGGGCCTCTCCAGATGATTGAAGAGATCGTGTGGGTTCGTACACAGAAATAAGTGGCCAGAAGCAGCAGGCAATCTACACAGTAGAATTAATGCTGTTTGACAGCACTTAAACTGTCATGGCAATCCTGGGAGTTGTAGTTTGCTGAAGCAGAGAAGTCTAAAGGACTTCTAAAATGACAACGACGAGGATTCAATAGCAGTGGGCTGTGGTTGATAAAATGGTGTCAAACTGCATTCATTCTACAGCAGGCATGGGCAAACTTGGGCCTTCCTCCAGGTGTTTTGGACTCCAACTCCCACCATTCCTAACAGCCTCAGGCCCTTTCCTTTCCCCCCTCAGCCGCTTAGCGGCTGAGGGGAGAAAGGAAGGGGCCTGAGGCTGTTAAGAATGGTGGGAGTTGGAGTCCAAAACACCTGGAGGGCCCAAGTTTGCCCATGCCTATTCTACAGTGTAGTAATACACCTACAACACTGCAGGCCTCTGATAAACTACATAGCCAAAGATAAGAGGTGATGATGGGAGTTACACTCCCAACAAAATCGAGGAATGCTTGCTCTGGCATTCCTCTCACAAGTTAGAAGAAAAAGAAAGTAATCAGAGGCTAAACTCGTATAAAAGAAGGGTGATCCGGGTATTTTCAAAGGAGGGAAGCAAGGCTGTCGCTCACCGCCACCGTTGCCATGCTGCTGCTGCTGCTGCTCCCGCCGTCTCTCGCGCCGTCTCTAAGCGGCAGCCGGCCCTGCCTCCTCAGCACCGGAAACAGGAAGCGGCCTCAGCTTTCGGGGCGCTCTGTCCGAGGCAACGTCTATGCTCCCTCAGTCCTCCAGTAGTCCTTGCTGTAGTAATAGTCCTTCCAGCTCAGCTGTGTACAAGGTGTCTGTGAAGTCTCTTTCCCATTTTGAAAAGTAAAGAGACTTTATGGAAACCCTGTATATTATGTTAAAGGAGGCTTTAGATGTAGTTATGTTTATTTGTCCTAATCTATATATATATAAATGCTCTGTGCATAATGAGTACCTTAAAAACAAAAGAACCAATGAACGAAATCACACCAAATTTGGCAACAAAACGTCTCACTAGACAAGGAGTGACCATCACTCAAAAAAAAATATTTTGTCATTTGGGAGTTGTTGCTGGGATTTATAGTTCACCTACAATCAAAGAGCTGTGTATAACGAATACTCTCTTCCAACAACCTAAAAGACGGCTTTACACATGGACCTCACCAGACGGTCAACACCGAAATCAGATTGACTACATCCTTTGCAGCCAAAGGTGGCGGACATCCATCCAGTCGGTGAAAACAAGACCTGGGGCTGACTGTAGCTCAGATCACGAACTTCATATTGCTCAATTTAAAATAAAACTAAAGAGATCAGGGAAAATACACAGACCAGTTAGATATGATCTCACTAACATTCCTAGCGAATATACAGTGGAAGTGAAGAACAGATTTGAAGGACTAGATTTAGTAAACAGAGTCCCAGAAGAACTATGGACAGAAGTCCGAGACATTGTTAAGGAGGCGGCAACAAAGTACGTACCAAAGAAAAAGAAAACCAAGAAGGCAAAATGGTTGTCTGCTGAGACACTGGAAGTAGCCCAAGAAAGGAGGAAAGCAAAAGGAAACAGGGATAAGGGGAGATATGCCCAGTTAAATGCGCAATTCCAGAGGTTAGCCAGAAGAGATAAGGAACTATTTTTAAATAAGCAATGCATGGAAGTTGAAGAAGACAACAGAATAGGAAGGACTAGAGACCTCTTCCAGAAAATTAGAAACATTGGAGGTAAATTTCAGGCAAAAATTGGTATGATAAGAAACAAAGATGGCAGGGACCTAACAGAAGCTGAAGAGATCAAGAGAAGGTGGCGAGACTATACAGAAGATCTGTATAGGAAGGATAATAATATCGAGGATAGTTTTGACGGTGTGGTGAGTGAATTAGAACCAGACATCCTGAGGAGTGAGGTCGAATGGGCCTTAAGAAGCATTGCTAACAACAAGGCAGCAGGAGATGACGGGATCCCAGCTGAACTGTTTAAAATCTTAAAAGATGATGCTGTCAAGGTGATGCATGCCATATGCCAGCAAATATGGAAAACACAAGAATGGCCATCAGACTGGAAAAAATCAACATATCCCCATACCAAAAAAGGGAAATGCGAAAGACTGCTCAAACTTCCGTACAGTGGCCCTTATTTCTCATGCCAGTAAGGTAATGCTCAAGATCCTGCAAGGAAGACTCCAGCAATACATGGAGCGCGAGTTGCCAGATGTTCAAGCTGGGTTTAGAAAAGGTAGAGGAACGAGAGACCAAATTGCCAATATCCGCTGGATAATGGAGAAAGGCAGGGAGTTTCAGAAAAACATCTACTTCTGCTTCATTGACTATTCTAAAGCCTTTGACTGTGTGGATCATAATAAATTGTGGCAAGTTCTTAGTGGGATGGGCATCCCAAGCCACCTTGTCTCTCTCCTGAGGAATCTGTACACGGACCAAGTAGCAACAGTAAGAACTGACCACGGAACAACAGACTGGTTCAAGATTGGGAAAGGCGTACGGCAAGGCTGCATACTCTCACCCAACCTTTTTAACTTGTATGCAGAACACATCATATGATGTGCGGGGCTGGATGAATGCAAAGCTGGAGTTAAAATTGCTGGAAGAAACATTGACAACCTTAGATATACAGATGATATCAATTTGGTGGCCGAAAGCGAGGAGGAGCTGAGGAGCCTTCTAATCAAAGTGAAAGAAGAAAGCGCAAAAGCCGGGTTGCAGCTAAACGTCAAAAAAACCAAGATTATGGCAACAAGAATGATTGACAACTGGAAATAGAGGGAGAAACGTGGAGGCAGTGACAGACTTTGTATTTCTAGGTGCAAAGCTTACTGCAGATGCAGACTGCCAGGAAATCAGAAGACGCTTACTTCTTGGGAGGAGAGCAATGTCCAATCTCGATAAAATAGTAAAGAGTAGAGACATCAGAACTGGCAACAAAGATCCGCCTAGTCAAAGCCATGGTATTCCCTGTAGTAACCTACGGATGTGAGAGCTGGACCTTAGGGAAGGCTGAGCGAAGGAAGATCGATGCTTTTGAACTGTGGTGTTGGAGGAAAGTTCTGAGAGTGCCTTGGACTGCGAGAAGATCCAACCAGTCCATCCTCCAGGAAATAAAGCACGACTGCTCATTGGAGGGAAGGATACTAGAGACAAAGTTGAAGTACTTTGGCCACAATGAGGAGACAGGAAAGCCTAGAGAAGACAATTATGCTGGGGAAAGTGGAAGGCAAAAGGAAGAGGGGCCGACCAAGGGCAAGATGGATGGATGGCATCCTTGAAGTGACTGGACTGACCTTGAGGGAGCTGGGGGGGTAACGGCCGACAGGGAGCTCTGGCGTGGGCTGGTCCATGAGGTCACGAAGAGTCGGAGACGACTGAACGAATGAACAACAACAACACAATCAAAGAGCATTCTGAACTCCACCAACAATGGAATTGAACCAAACTTGGCACACAGGACTCCCATGACCAAGAGAAAACACTAGAAGGGTTTGATGGGCATTGACCTTGGGTTTTGGAGTTGTAGTTCACCTACATCTAGAGAGCACTGTGGACTCAAACAATGATGGATCTGGACCAAACTTGCCATGAATACTCAATATGCCCAAATATAAACACAGATGGAGTTTGGGGGAAATAGACCTTGACATTTGGGAGTTGTAGTTACTGGGATTTATAGTTCCCCTACAATCAAGGAGGATTCTGAACCCCACCAACAACAGAATTGGGGCAAACTTCCCACACAGAACCCTCATGACCAACAGAAAATACTGTGTTCTCTGGTGGTCTTTGGTGACCCTTCTGACACCCCGCTGGTACCCCCCCCCCCCCGGGGTCTTGACTTCCCAGGTTGAGCAATGCTGCCTTAAGGCATTCCAATCCAACTCCCTTCACCAGGGCAAGAAAACATAATCAAAGTCCTCCTGAAAAAGGGCCATCCAGCTATTCACACACACACACACACACACACACACACATATATATATATGACAGATGCAGTATCAAAGATTTGAAAGGGACCCCTGAAGAAGGACAATGATATGTAGAGTAGGCAAAGCAGACAATCTCCACATCAACACTGGCAAAGAAACAGCAAGAAATACTGTTTACCCACAAGCAGAAAGACATTACATATATTAGAAACCAACACTTGTTCGTTACTTTATTTTCCAGATCACCAGATTGGGCCACAGCAACTCGTGGCAGAGGACCGCTAGTAATTAATAAATGAGTTGATTATCTAAGGGCCTAGACATAATGCAACCTGTCTAATTATGCTAAAGCAGGCATGGGCAAACTTCGGCCTTCCTCCAGGTGTTTTGGACTGCAACTCCCACAATTCCTAACAGCCTACCTGTGCTAGACTGCTGGGATTTGACATCCATCAACTCTGCAAGGAACGCAATGTTGCCTAGGCCTGCTTTCTCCCTTCTCCAGCTCTGAGAAGGCCCACCTCGCAATGTTTCATGTCAACAATGAACAGGCTCTCTTTGCAGCTTCCCTCCTTCCTCCATCTACCTCATACAGCTTCTCACCTCTTCATTCTTTCCTCTCTTCCTTCCTTTATCCCTTCTTGTGTCCAATTCTGGGCACCACAGTTCAAGAGAGATATTGACAAGCTGGAATGTGTCCAGAGGAGGGCGACTAAAATGATCAAGGGTCTGGAGAACAAGCCCTATGAGGAGCGGCTTAAGGAGCTGGGCATGTTTAGCCTGAAGAAGAGAAGGCTGAGAGGAGATATGATAGCCATGTATAAATATGAGAGGAAGCCACAGGGAGAAAGGAGCAAGCTTGTTTTCTGCTGCCCTGGAGACTAGGACGCGAAACAATGGCTTCAAACTACATGAAAGGAGATTCCATCTGGACATGAAGAAGAACTTCCTGACTGTGAGAGCCGTTCAGCAGTGGAACTCTCTGCCCCGGAGTGTGGTAGAGGCTCCTTCTTTGGAAGCTTTTAAATAGAGACTGGATGGCCATCTGTCAGGGGTGATTTGAATGCAATATTTCTGCTTCTTGGCAGAATGGGGTTGGACTGGATGGCCCATGAGGTCTCTTCCAACTCTTTGATTCTATGGTTCTATGATTCTTTCTTCTCATCCTTTCTCTTTCCTTTCACTTCCTCCCCTCCTTTTTCTTTCACCGTTTCCTTCCTTTCCTTTCTTTTTCTACTTCCTTCTTTCCTCCTTTCCCCTCATGCACATCACCTAGCAACAGTCAATCTGCTTCACTGCGGTTTTCCTGTCTTCCTCCATTTCCCTCATACACCTTCTCACCTCTTCATTCTTTCCTTTCTCTTCCCTTTTTCTTTCTTCCTTTCCTTCAACCCTTCTCTCTTCTCGTCCTTTTTTTTTCACTTCCTTACCTCCTTTTTCTTTCATCCTCCATCACTTCCTTCCTTTTCCTTCTTTTTCTCCTTTCTTTCCTCCTTTCCTTTCATACACATCACCTAGCAACAATCAATCTGCTTCACGACCCAATAACATCACACAGGGCCACTTCACCTATCTATAGCTAATCTGTTTTGTTTTGTTTCATTCCCTCTACTCTGGGTTTGCTTTTTTCCCCTTTATTTTTGTTCAGATTCCTCAATTATTTTAAGTTAAATAATGCTACGTAACAAAATTTGAAAAAAAAAATCTGTTCCTGGTTTGAAAGTGTTCTTTGCTGTTTGTGTTTGTTTTTTGTTTTGGTTTGGTTTGGTTTTGTTCAGTTGTTTCCAACTCTTCGTGACCTCATGGACCAGCCCACGCCAGAGCTCCCTGTCATACGTCCTCCCCTGCTCCTTCAGAGTCAAGCCAGTCACTTCAAGTCAGCCATCACCACACCCAGCTCCTTCAGAGTCAAGCCAGTCACTTCAAGGTCGGCCATCACCACCCCCAGCTCCTTCACAGTCAAGCCAATCACTTCAAGGACGGCTGTTACTACACCCAGCTCCTTCAGAGTCAAGCCAGTCACTTCAAGGTTGGCCGTCACCACCCCCAGCTCCTTCAGAGTCAAGCCAGTCACTTCAAGGTCGGCCGTCACCACCCCCAGCTCCTTCACAGTCAAGCCAATCACTTCAAGGACGGCTGTCACTACACCCAGCTCCTTCAGAGTCAAATCAGTCACTTCAAGGTTGGCCGTCACCACCCCCAGCTCCTTCAGAGTCAAGCCAGTTACTTCAAGGTCGGCCGTCACCACCCCCAGCTCCCTCAGAGTCAAGTCAATCACTTCAAGGACAGCTGTCACTACACCCAGCTCCTTCAGAGTCAAGCCAGTCACTTCAAGGTTGGCCGTCACCACCCCCAGCTCCTTCAGAGTCAAGCCAGTCACTTCAAGGTCGGCCGTCACCACACCCAGCTCCTTCAGAGTCAAGCCAGTCACTTCAAGGATACCATTCATCCATCTTGCCCTTGGTCAGCTCCTCTTTCTTTTCCTTCAATTTCCCCCAGTATCATTATCTTCTCCAAACTTTCCTGTCTTCTCATTATGTGGCCATACTTCATCTTTGCCTCTAATATCCTTCCCTCTAGTGAGCAGTCGGGCTTTATTTCCTGAAATATGGACTGGTTTGATCTTCTTGCGGTCCAAGGCACTCTCATAACTTTCCTCCAACACCACAGTTCAAAAGTGTCTATCTTCCTTTGCTCAGTTTTCCTTGCGGTCCAGCTCTCACATCCATAGGTTACTATGGGGAATACCATTGTTTTAACTATGCAGATGTTCATTGCTAGTGTGATGTCTCTACTCTTCACAATTTTAGTGTTTAATTTTGCGGTACTCACTTTGAAAGTAAGTTGTTATACTCCAGAAACTTTGTTTTTATAGCTGCCACAAACTATGTTGAACTGGTTGAGACTCACTGACAAACTATAGTAAAATGTGCTGCAGGATGTCCTGCAAAAGCAAAGTTTTTGAAGTTTAATAAACTTTCCCCATGTTTTTACGATAGAACCAATTAGGACCATGGTTTTCAACCTGTGGGTCCCCAGATGTTTTGGCCTTCAACTCCCAGAAATCCAAACAGCTGGTAAACCGGCTGAGATTTCTGGAAGTTGTAATCTAAAACACCTGAGGGCCCACAGGTTGAGAACCACTGAATTAGGAAATGATATTTTTAACCCAGGAACAAAAATCATGTTATATGGTATAATGAAGTATAATGTGTGCCAAGTTTGGTCCAGATCCATCAAGCCATATAGGAGCCTTTGTGGGAGAAACAAACATACATGCATATGCACACATACATACGTTGATATATAAATGATACTTTAGTAGCCTGTTAGGTCTCTACTCCAAAGAAACAGACACCAATCATCCTGACATAAGTGAATGGTCAGATATATTCAATTATTATTATTATTATTATTATTAATAATAATAATAATAATACCCCACTTTTTCTCTACAAGGAGACTCATGTTCAAACACAAACACATGTTCTAACTGTTTCTATGGCGGTATATTTCTAGTTATCTACTTCTAACTCTTTGCTTTACTGGGAAATTTATAGTGAACATTGCTATTTTATGACACTATACTTTAGGGTTCTTTCTGCCTTCATTTCAGTTGAAAACCACTTCAAAAAAAAGTCCTGTTTAAATATAGTTAGCCATACGATAAATTTTATATGAAAGCATGCACAAAGCAAAAGGAAAACTGATGTGACAAAAGGGGAAATTACCAAGAATGAAGCAACATATACCAATAAAAGTTTTGAGGATTTTTTTCAGATTAAAATATTTTATTTTAAAATAAACAGTGCTTCAGAGAAGCTTTCAGCATTTCACAGAAACACACCCAAATCCCTGAGTTTGTGGGATAAATTATTTTAAGAGATTTGCAGTAAAATTCTGTACATTTTCACACTGTGTTTTCACATTGTTTGTAGTTTGCAAGTACATTTTGAACAGGATACATTTTCCACGTATAGTAGGACCCCCATATCCACTGGGATATAACCGAATGCCATTAAATCACATAACTTCCATATCAAAGTGATGCACTAGAGCAGTGGTTCTCAACCTGTAGATCCCCAGGTGTTTTGGCCTACAACTCTCAGAAATCCCAGCCAGTTTACCATATGCTAGGATTTCTGTAAGTTGAAGGCCAAAACATCTGGGGACCTACAGGATGAAAACCACTACACTAGAGGATCTAGAGATTCCTATAGAACAGTGGTTCTCAATCTGTGGATCCCCAGATGTTTTGGCCTTCAACTCGCAGACATCTAACTAACATCTGCTAAACTGGCTGGGATTTCTGGGAGTTGTAGGCCAAAACACTTAGGGACCCACAGGTTGGGAACCGCTGCTATAGAAGTATCATCTCTAGGAATTCACTAGGTCCTCCAATGCAACCCTATGGTAACTTCCAGGGAAAGCATACTACAGAATCACCTGGAAAACCTAGCAAATTCCCAGAGAGAGACCATTATTCCTCTGCTGTGGATAAGTGAAGCCATGGATATAAGTTCCATGTTTATAGGGATCTTACAGTATTGATTCCGCTTTTCAAAAGCTCCCATAAAATCAAGAAAATTAACAAGCAATAAAACAACACAATAAATATATATTTTTTAAAAACAGCAAAACAAAGAAAAGTCACACATAGAAACCAGAACTAACTCTTATAAAAAAAAAACCTTGGGAAAGCAACAGTTGGCACCTGTAAAATAAAGTGAGCACAAAAGCCTTACTTTGAGCTACTGCTTATCCTACTGCCATAAAACGGCTTCTAAGGAAAGCCTCAATTTCCAGAGATATTTATCACAGAACAAGGTTGTAATTTAAGGTCCTCTTACATTACAACCCTTTGCATATTTCCTTGAGAATAAGGTAGCATTTGGAAATTAGTTACACAGCAACATATTGCACTGTCCCAAATTAGCAGTTAAAAAGCAATGACATTTTCATGGGTGAGGAGAGGACTATGTCCTTCCTTTTAATCCTAGAAATCTCAATGTTTCATTTCCTTTTTTTTTAAAGTACAGCTTTCCCTAATCTTTTGTCCACGAGATCATCTGAAATGCAACTTGCATTAGCATGGAAAACTTGGCCTATGGTCAAGGAGGGTGGGAGCTGTACAGTCATCCTTTCACATTTGCTGGGGTTAGGCAAAAGTGAAAAATAAAAATAAATGGCTTTTTTAAAACTTCAGATAATACCTCTCTAGGAATTTCTATATCCTCCAGCATGACACTATGTGAACTTTCACTATGTGAAATTGACCATAGAATCGCATGGAAGACCTACAGTTTGTTTTTAGAGAGGTGTTCTCTGTATGACTCTCTGAGGTCACATTTCAAACACAAGGCTTGTGGGCTGAATCTGGCCCACCATGTCCTTTTATGTGGCCCTCCAGAAGGTGGACTACAACTCCTGTATTCCGTACCATGAGACATCATGTCTAGAGTTGATGGGAGTTGGGATACAGCAGCATCTGAAAGGCTGCAGTTTGTCCTGTTGAGTCAGGAGAGTGGAGTTTGAATTTAGATACAAGGCCTGTGGATATAATGCCCTTTAACCTTTCCAACCTCAGGGTGACAAGTGCTGTTGGGTTGCAATCTCCATTATCCACAGTCTGTATAGCAGATAATCAAAAGTGATTATAGTTGTTCAATAACATCTGACAACCCAGACTGGGTAAAAACTAAAGAGCACTAACCAATATGTGTGTGTGTATGTGTGTATGTGTTTGTATATAGATAGATAGATAGATAGATAGATAGATAGATAGATAGTGTTGACACTATATATGAATGAATTCAACACCCATGGATTCAACAGCCCTTTGAAGGCAACCACAAGGCTGATGTGGCCCTCGATGAACATGAGTTTGACACCCTTGTTCTATGTCAGGCATATGCAAACTTTGGTCCTCCAGGTGTATTGGACTTCAATTCCCATCATTCCTAACAGTCTCAGGCCCCTTCCTTTTCCCCCTCAGACGCTTAAGCAGCTGAGGGGGGAAAGGAAAGGGCCTGAGGATGTTAGGAATGATGGGAGTTGAAGTCCAATACATCTGGTGGGCCAAAGTTTGCATATGCCTGTTCTACGTCCTCCCAACATGACTCTACAGTCAACATCCAACAAAGTTAATCACAGAGTTATACTGGAGGATGGAGAGAATCCTAGAACATTTTAATCAAATCCGCAAATGTCGGATCCACAAACGTGTAGGGCGACTGTATTTCAGATATCTAAAGGGCACCAGGTTGGGGGAATCTGTCGCAGAGAATAAACCAGCACATCTAACAAGTCCTTTTTTTTTTTTTACATTAGCAAAGTAAAATTTCATGCAATTTGTCTGACTCTTCCTTTCTCCTTCATTTAAAGTGTCATCATCAAAAATAAAAACCCAAATTTTACAAGAACTGTCTTGTCTTATATACACAGTTCGTCAAGTAGTGCAATTGTTGATGTCATTCACAACGGATCAATGCCGATTTCTTGATCCCAGAAGTACAGTAAAAGCCAAACTCTACCTAGTGTTCATAAGACAACTTCTTTCCTTGATTGGCTTTCACTTTGGAAGAGGAGGAGGTGGAATCTTTCTTGAGGATTTTTTTTATAAAAAAAGCTAATAGTTCCACCAGCAGTCATTTTTTAAAAACAAAACTCCCAAAGGCTCTTCTGTCTCCCATCTCTGGCACTGATTGAGAACTAGTCGAGCTGCAGGTCAAATATTTCTTCTTGGTTTACAATTTTCTCCTAAAGGGAAAGAAATACATATTATAATTGCCAGTCACTTCCACAGCATCTCAATATAACATATTCTGTGCAGTCTTTGAAACATTCTTCAGTCAGGCAACAGCCCCTTCAATGTAAAAGGAAATCCTGAAATTGGGACCTCGGGATGCAACCTGCCCTGAGGAATTAGCGTCCTTTACAAATGGCATGACACAAGGGCAGAATCAAATGGGAAGACACTGAATTCTAGAATCTAGGCTAACTCTTTAAAGTTTTCATAATACAGGAATGGGGAAAGAAACTCTACTCTGGGCAAATCTAGCATGGGGTTCTCTTGACAAGACTGTCCAAAATATTAAAAATTAACCAGGTATTTTTAATTACAAAAAATGTGAGTCAAGCACTGAAAGGGTTAAATGGATGCAATAACTCAGCAAAAGCTGCAGTTCAATATAAGCAGGTGTCCCTGTAGCTTAGTAGCCCTCAGTCTGTAAGAGATCTCTGTGGAAGAAGGACCTCAGTGTGTTAGTTCGCCTTAGTGGGAGAAAAGCCTCAGTGTGAGATGGGCCACAGTGTTAGTAGGCTTCAATATGAGAACGCCTCAGTGTGAGAGGAAGCTCCAGTGTGAAGGATGCTGTGTTTAAAAAGCTAGTGTGGATATAAATATTTTTTGCTAAGTATGGGCTCTTCTTTACAGTATCTATTAGAAATACATAGGGATATTTGAATCTACAAAGAATGTAAATGAGACATGCAGCGGACCTTTTTTTCTTTCTCTTTTTCTCTCTCTTTCCCCTCTACGTTTCCTACTTTGCTATCTCCCAATTGTTCTCCCACTTTCCATGTATAATAACAAACTTTTCCCCCCTTTTTTGGAATAATAAAAATCTATTTTTTTAAAAAAAGCTACTGTGTGAAGCTCCTGTGGAAGTTAGTTCAGTGTGAGAAGAGGCTCTGTGAGAGTGAAGCTGTTTATCTGCATAAGAAAGAAGCCCAGCATGGAAGCAAAGAAGGAAGTATAAAGAACTTTGTTCATGTTATGGAAACCTAGTTTTTGTAAATATTTCAACCATATTATTTTGCCATAAAGAAAAGCCTCCTATGTAAGAGATAACATTGGTCTGTGTGTTTTTGTTCTTTTTATCATTTCAGGCTACTGGTGCTGGGTCACGCTGCTATTAATAAGTTACTCTGCTGTACATTTATGAGGAGGGTTTTTTTTTGTTAATAAGCCCACTCACCCAACAAAGATTTGTTCAGAAGAGGCTTGCCCTTGCCTTTCTCTGTGGCTGAAAGAGTGTGACTTGCCCAAGGCCACCCAGGATGTTTCATGTTTGTGTGAGGCTTTGAACCCTAGTCTTCAGAGTCATAACCTTATGCTCAAGTCACAGGATAGATACAAAATGAAGTAGACAGGGCCAGGTGCCATTTTTACCCATTTGGAGATTTCCTCTCCAGCCCCACAGTCCACTCTATGCATGTCTACTCAGAAGTAATATTCCAATGCAATAGGTTCACTACCTAAAAAATCAGAGCTCAATTGTAGCCATGTTTGCACAGGAGAAAATCCCAGTGCAACAACTCCTGCTGTATAAACCAGAGCTCAGTCTCCCACAGATAAATTATTGGTCTTTAAAAAACCTCTTATTCCTAATCACTGATCAGAAATAATAGCAAAACAAGCTCGATGGGGACTTCTTATGCACCACAATTTGGTCTGCAGACTCAAACTTCATCATTCCTGCCATTTAAAGATAACAACTGTAGTTCTGCCCAAGAAAAGACTCCACTGCCACATACCCAGCCACCTTGCTGCTGCAGCCAAGGTATAAACATATCCATATACTGCAAGCTGTAGCCCATGAGGGTGTGTACTGCGTGGCTGTTGATGCCGGCCACTTTCCGTGTCAGCTCCATGGTGAGAGCCAGCTTGGCTAGCTGTGGACTGGGAACGCCAGGCGTGGGACGTGAAGTGAAGGCCTCTGCCAGGCGGGAGAAGCTGCCATATGAGAGGCGGGCAAGGGAGTTGCGTAGAAACGGGTCAGCTTCAATCTGCCAAGGAAAGCAAAGAGTGGAAGGATGTAAGAACTGACATGTGAGCAAATTGTAAATTCAAATCTGGAGGACGTCTTAAGCCAAACATGTAATCTAGCAATTTAGAGGAGAACTACATCACCCATTATCCCTCTCCATGAGCTATGCTAATTAGGGCTGATGGAAGCTGCAGCCCAATATATCACATGAGGCCACACATTCTCCATTTCCATCCTAGAAAAGGACCACTGCTCCATCAAACAAGTTGGTTAGGAAAGGAAGCACCCAATCCTGTTTTGTCTGGAAATATCCACTTTGGACAGCTGTGTACAAACATCTGCCTTTTCTACTGTGAAAGTTTGTGACCAGTTATTGTATGTTAAGGATAAAATTAACAAACTGGTGCACATTCAGTGGAGGAAAAACACAATGAAATTATCTGTATATACTTGAGTATAAGCCGACCTGAATATAAGCCAAGGCACATAATTTTACCACAAAAAACTGGGAAAACATAATTGACTCAAGTATAAGCTGAGGGTGAAAAATGCAGAAGCTATTGGTAAATTCAAAATAAAAATAGATACCAAAAAAGCACATTAATTGAGGCATCACATTAATTGAGACATCTCAAGGGTAAATATTTTTGAATATTTACATAAAACTGTAATTTAAGATAAGACTGTCCAACTCTGATTTAATCATTATTCTAACCTTCTTCAATGTAAATGCGCTTACGGATCCTTCCAATAATAATAAAGAGAATAAAATAATAAACGTAATAAAAATAGAGTAAAATAATGGAAGTGTAATAATAACAGTAATAACAGAGTAAAATAAAAATGTAATAATAACAATAATAAAGAAAAATAAATAATAATAAAAATAGAGTAAAATAATAAATGTAATAACAACAACAATAATAATAATACAGTAAAATAATGCAAATGCAATAACAACAACAATAACAATAACAGAGTAAAATAATAAATAACTTTGACTTGAGTATAAACTGAGGAGGGCTTTTCCAGCCAAAAAAAGGCCTGAAAAACTTGGCTTATACTCAAGTATATACAGTAATCTGCCAATCTTATACTATAAAATGCAGTTCTAAAAGCCACGTGTCTCTTGCCTGGAAAAAAAAAAGATTAAGCAGGGAGGCAATATTTGTCTTCTAAACATCTGAGGGTGGTCTTGCAAAAGACAGAGCAAACACCACAAGGTGTACCACAAGGCAAAACAAGAACTAATGGGATGGGACTTCAATGAATCAACTTTCAGAAAAAAATTCCTAACAGGATGTGAACAAAGAACTAATTCTCAAGTGTGTATTCTTGTGCAGAGTGTACGACCCATGGAAAAAGGGGAAATAGAAGGACTGGAGAAACCCAAAGTTTAAGAAATCTCAAAGTTATTGGAGGAGAATAGGATTTAAAATAGCCCAAGGAAGATTGAGCACACCCAAAGGCCACAGAACACTAATGTTTATGGGCCATAAAAAGCAACACACTTGAAAAGGCTGGAGAGAAAAGGGGATACAATGGAATAGGGCACAACAGGAGCCTTCTAAACTGCATGACTACAATTGCATACCTTTGCATTGATGTTTCCAGCCTGCTCTTCGAGGACAGCAATCAGTTTCTGGATGATCTGCTCTTTCTGCTTCTCATCCAGTTCCACTGGCACTTCCTGTGAACTGACTGTAAGCAGAGAGAACATGGAAATTCCAAGAGGTTACACATATATGGATGATTAGAAAAGAGATGTGACTACCTCATCACACTAGAGATGTAATCCACTTTAAGTCCGGTTTCTCCCTCCTGCAGAATTCTGAGGTTTGTAGCTTAACAAGACTGTTAAAGGCTCCTCCCTTAACTACAAACTCCAGAATTCTGCAGGAGGCAGAAACCGGATTTAAAGTGGATTCATTCTCTAGTGTGATGAAGCACTAAAATTAGGTAAAATCTACAATAGCCTGAGTTTAGTGTTTTATAGATTGCCACTGATTACACTATAAAACACATTTTTTGTTCATGGGTTATACATGTCATTTCCTACTTGGTTCTATCATAAAAACATGGGAAAAGTTTATTACACTGCAAAACTTTGTTTTTGCAGGACATCCTGCAGCACATTTTGCTATATTTATTCAATGAATATCTCATACGGTCTAAACTAATTCAACATAGTTTGTGGCAGCCACAAAATCAAAGTTTTTGGAGTATAATAACTATTTTCAAAGTAAGTACTGCACAATTAAACAGGAAATAACACTTTCAAACCAGGAACAGATTTTTTTTTTTTTAAAAAAAGTGTTATATAGTGTTATTTAAAAGGTAAAGTGTCCCCTGACATTAAGTTTAGGTAAAGATTGTCCCGTGACATTAAGTCCAGTCATGTCTGACTCTGGGGTGTGGTGCTCATCTCCATTTCTATGCCGAAGAGCCAGTGTTGTCCACAGACACCTCCAAGGTCATGTGGCCCGCATGACTGCATGGTGCGCTGCTACCTTCCCGCAGAAGCAGTACCTATTGATCTATTAACATTTGCATGTTTTCAAACTGTTAAGTTGGCAGAAGCTGGAGCTAAACAGTGGGAGCTCACCCGCTGAACTTTTGGTCAGCAAGTTCAGCAGCTCAGCCATATAATAAATAATCATAATCATAATAATACTTTATTTGTACCTTGCCACCATCTCCCTGAAGGGACTTGGAGCGGCTAACATTAAGTAATCAAGGTGCCACACATAAATAGAATTACATATAATCAAAGCAATACACAATTTGACTGGATACAAACAATGGAAAATGTCAATCAATAAAATTAAAAATTTTAAAAATTCTAAAACACAGTCATACTTGTGAGTCATTTGGTTTCTTCAAACACGAACTACAGTGCCAAATAACAACCTGCTGCGCACCAGGGGAGCGTTCAGTATTATTTACTGAAGTCCATTTCCTTACCTGCTGGTACCTAATTTTGGACAGCTATGTCTACCCTTGTTGCTTTTGTCACCATGTCACACAACACACTCCCACTAGGGGCCATACTGTGTTAAGAGCAAGAAGAGAATTTGTCAATCCCAGATCTTTCAAAAATTACTTTAAACTACAATTTCCAAATTCCCTCATCTGGCATGACCATATTGGCTGAAGAATTTTAGCAGGAAAAAAGTAATTTTTCGAACTCTGGTTCAAGCAATAAGAAGGGATGAGGATGCTTTCACTTTCTGTTCAACTTTTTGACAAGATGAGAAAGACTCATAGCAAATAAATATAACCAGTACCTGGTGTGCTGGATCGTGTGTCTGTGGCAAGCGAGTTGAGCTGCTGTTTGGAAAGAGGCCAGGTTTTTGGTTTCGCAGGGCTGATCGACTGTTGCTGTTTCACCAAGTGGTCCAGTTTCTCGGCCACCAGTGTGTAAAATTCAGCACCTTCAGCATTAGGATCTGGAATGAAGAACAGGAAGTTTGTAAAATCAAAAAAGCACAAAACAAAACTGGGACTAATGAGATATTCATTGCAAAACCATATTACAGAAGTTAAGTGATTCTGCACTCAGATAACACTTGCGTCATGTTCTGCTGGTGAAAAATATGCTAACTTTGGAGTTACACAAAACACTTCAAAAGGTAAGAAGGAAAAGCAAGCAAAGAAAAAAGAATCACCTTGCTTTTATTAATTGTTTCCACCTTCCTATATTTTGAATTGACGTACTGTAAACAATTGTTCTCTAAGAATTAGCTGTTTGGTTAAGATTTCTAGGTGGGTAATATTTTGCTAAAAGAAGCAGATCCTATAAAAAAAGTATTGCTTTTTATGTTCCGCACTCTCTATATTCCCAGAATAACGGTCAGAAATAAAAGTTAGAGAAATCTTTGGTTTGTTCATTTGTTTTTCTTTAGAGCAGGATTAGCAAAGTACAGATCTTCAAATATTATTGGACTGAAACTCCCAGAATTCCTCACAATTTGCTAAGCTAATGGGAATTTAAGTCCAGCAACGGATGAATGGCCATGCTTTGGCCACTCCGACTTAAGAGAACAAGTTGATCTTTTTGTGTGCATGTCAGGAGCGACTTGAGAAACAGCAAAGGAGATTAATCAGAGAATGCAATGTTTATTGTGACTGTGTTGATGTGAGTACTGTGCATTGTTTGCATTCTCTTATGAATCTCCTTTGAGGTGACACCTTCTGCTGTCAAGAATTCAATGACTGCATGTTGCTTAAGTTGCATTGACCTACCATCTGTGCAGGTTCCATACTTCGCACTTTAACAACACAACTATTCAATATTAAGGCTTCCTGCCAAAATAGAAATGTAAAGGAAAGTCTACTGAACAAGCCAGTACCTGCCGCATACCAGTACTGCCATCTGTTGAGGAGTTACGAAGGTGGAGGCATTACTTTTCATTCAACCCTCATATTTCAACCTAAACTGCTTGGCAAGGTGAAGAATCACATGCTATCTTAAGCCCTCTGAAGAGAAAGTGGCACAGCAAGGTGGTAATAAGGAAGGAACATACAACGCTGAGTAATGCAACCACTTATAAAAACTGCTTTTGAACCTTGACAGCAAAGCAGCCATTTACGGGATTGCTTAAGGCTTTCCAGCAGAGGTAATAAAGCAATACAGCAACCAACAATACTATGCCTGTAGGCAGAGAAACCAAAACCCTTGACCAGGGTGGACTTTGGTAAGATAAAAAAACACTGTGCAACACCTACTCAAGTGGCGAAGAAAGGCATACTGTACAATAACTCACTCCACCCATTTTGTGTAAAAAAAAATATCACTGGGTGAGGCATGAGAGTCGTGAAAGCCTCACAAGGAAGTATGGAGGCACCTGAGTCTGTGAACATGGTATCGGCCTCATCTCTGGCATTTCCTTACCTGCTGCCTGGGCTCCCTGTTGCTCCACTGGTTGACCTCCACAATAGCAGTGGACAAGAGGCAAAGTGTTCGGGCGCTGGGGGGGAGCAGGGCCGTTCGCGGACTCCCCCGAAGTGGATCCTTTCTTCTTCAGGAGATTCTTGAAGGAGAAGCGTTTCTGGCGGGCCTTCTCCCCGGTTTCTCCCCCTGCCTTGGGCCGCTTTAAGGGGTCCTTAGAGGGAGACGGGGTGTCCGGGGTTTTCTGCGGACTGGGTCGACGCCGCAACAAACGCTTGAAACTGGTGCTGAAGCCATGCTTCTTCTCCTCCGCACGGTTAATTTCCTCATGGACAGTGGTCCAGGTTGGACAGTTCGGGGCATGCTCAGTTGGAGATCTGCAGTAACAAGGAGGCACAAAGAATAGTGATTTAAAAATTTTGCAAAAGTTACCTTTTTAGACTACCACTTCCATAACCCCCACGCAGCAAGGCCATTCATCATGCTGGCTGAACACTTCTTGGGAGTTGTAGTACAAAAAGTATCTTTTTAAAATTGTGAATGTGGCTTTTTGATTCAATTGTCCAGTCTCTAACACACAAACGCTTCAAAAACATAACTCGATAAAGTAGTCAGAAACTGTAAGGTAAAGGCTTCCCCTGACATTTAGTCTAGTCATTTCCGACTCCAAGGGGTGGTGTTCATCTCCATTTCTAAGCCAAAGAGCCGGCGTTGTATGTAGACTCTTCCAAGGTTATGTGGTCGGCATGACTGCATGGAGTGCCGTTATCTTCCCACTGAAGCGGTACCTATTGATCTACTCATATTTGCATGTTTTCAAATTGCTAGGTTGGCAGAATCTGGGCCTAACAGCAAGAGCTCACTCCGCTCCCCAAATTTGAACCACTAACCTGAACCCAGCTATGCTCCCTTTATCTCTGCCATATTGTTTTATGATTGTGTTTGTTTTATTATTTTATTCGACTGATTTTAATTGTATCTCTGTTTTTATCTGTAATTTTTGGGCTTGTCCCTTGTAAGCTGTCCCAAGTCCCCTTGGGGAGATGGTGGTGGGGTATAAAAATAAAGGCATTATTATTATTATTATTATTATTATTATTATTATTACATTTTGGTCAGCAAGTTCAGCAGCTCAGCGGTTTAACCCACTGCGCCACCAGGGGGCTCATAGAGACTGTACATCACATAAAGTAGGAGAGCTAGTTAAGATGAACATACTGATAATGGGGACTATTGATCTACTCACATTTGCATGGTTTTGAACTGCTAGGTTGGCAGAAGCTGGGGCTAACAGCGGTGGCTCATCCCATTACTGGGATTTGAACCGCCAATCTTTTGGTCAGCAAGTTTAGAAGCTCAGCGGTTTAACCCACAGCGCCACCTGGGAGTCCATTTCTTCTACAGAACCTAAAATCCCAGTTCAGAAACTTACATTTCAGGATTGTCTTTCCTGCAAAACCAGGATTCCTGCCCAAAATCCACCATTCACTTTCCTGCATTTCATTTCCTTCTCAGGGATGACAGAAGATCATTCAACCAATTACTGACCTATATATATAACTTTGGGGGTCATGGTAGCTCCGGCCCACGTGGCCTGGGGCTCTTCCGTTGAGCGCAGTCCTTTGCAGGAACGCTTCCAGCACCAGGCGTGTTTCCTCTTTTACGGATTTCTTGTCGGGTAGAGGGCTCTTGGCCATGAAGAAGATGCTGACACTCAACAACAGGAGAAAAATGTATTGCCTTCAGATGTATCATCACCCCTGGAAGGAAGAAAATGAAACAGAGCACACAATAAGAATTGTTACTATTATATAATCACTCTTTTCCCCATCATCCCTTCTTTATTCTTTGGGCAACTGAAGGCCACACATAAATGCTGCTTTACACTAAGGCTTTTCAGCCATTGCCCGCCCAACCAGCTGGCAAGAATCATATGATTCCAGAAGCCATTCAGAACAGCTGCCTACCAAAGACAAGGCTCCCTCTTCATCAACACAAACCAGCACCATCCAAACTCACACAGTTGAGGCCCGATTTGTGCCACAGAAAACACTGTGGAGCAGAAAATAACACATGGTAACAAAATTCTAAAAAAGTTCTCTTTCTGGTTTCAAAGTGTTATTCCCGTTTAATTGTGTGGTACTTAATAATAATAATAATAATAATAATAATAATAATAATAATAATGTGGGACTTTCGAATGCAGACTGACAAAGTTTTGGAACACAATACACCAGACATCATGATTGTGGAAAAGAAAAAGTCTGGATTATTGATGTCGCCATACCGGATGACAGTCGCATTGAGGAAAAACAACAGGAAAAACTCAGCCACTATCAAGACTTCAAAATCAAACTGCAAAGGCTCTGGCATAAACCAGTACAGGTGGTCCCAGTGGTCATTGGCGCACTGGGTGCCATGCCAAAAGATCTCAGCGGGCATTTGGAAACAATAAACACCAACAAAATCACGATCTGTCAACTGCAAAAGGCCACCTTACTTGGATTTGCGCTCATCATTCGAAAATACATCACATAGTCCTAGACACCTGGGAAGTGTTCGACTTGAGATTTTGTGATACGAAATCTAGCATATAGATCTCGTTTGCTGTAACATACTGTGACATACTGTGCTTTTGTGTCAATAATAATAATAATAATAATAATAATAATAATAATAATAAACCTTATTTATACCCCGCCACCAGGGGACTTGGGGCGGCCTACTTACTTTGAAAGTGATTGTTCGAACCTAGAGTTCGAAAGCATGCAAATGTGAATAGATCAATAAGTACTGCTCCGGCAGGAAGGTAACAGCGCTCCATGTAGTCATGCTGGTCACATGACCTTGGAGATGCCTACAGACAACACCAGCTCTCTGGCTTAGAAATGGAGATGAGCACCACCCCTCAGTCGGACACAACTAGATTTAATGTTAAGGGGAAACCTTTACCCTTTACCCTATTTATCATATCAGAAGCAAACCAAGGGTACAGTTGTAATGTATTACACAAAACACAGAGTTTAAAAACTTGGTATTATATTAAATGTCCTTTGACCAGCAGCTGGCCACTTGGAGTGCCTCTGGTGTTGCTGTAAGAAGGTCCTCCATTGTGCATGTGGATGGCTCAAGCTGCACTGTAATAGGTAGTCTGTGGTTTGCCCTTCTCCCCACTCTCTAAACTACTGGAAAGAGGGGAGCGAAGCAGATTGGCTGCTGCTAGGAGACTTGTTTACGCGGGAAAGGGAGAGAGAAAGGAAAAAGAAGGGAAAGGAAAGAAGTAAGGGAGAGGGCAAGGAAGAAAAAGGAGGGAAGGAAGAGAAAGGGAACGAGACAAGGAAAAAAATTAGAGAGGGAAGGTGTGTACTTATGAAAGCACTAGCCGTCCTCTGCCACGCGTTGCTATGGCCCAGATTGTGTATATGTGTGTGTGTATATATATATATATATATTTGTTTATATGTGTATATATGTGGATTTGTGCATGTATTGTAATGTATTTTTATTTTTTAGCTTTTTAAGTCCCTTCTACTGTGTTTTTCCGTATTTTTATGTGTGACAGTCACTCGTTGGCCTGATTGTGTCCAAATTTAGTGTCAATTGGTCCAGTCGTTTTTGAGTTATGTTAATCCCACAAACAAACATTACATTTTTATTTATATAGATGAGAAGAAGGAAAGAAATAAAAGTGGGGTGGGGAAGTGTATGGAGGAAACAGAGGAAGAACAGAAAGAGCCACAACGAAAACGCATTAGCCGGGCAACACTGGTATACAGTGTTCCCTCACTTATTGTGGGTGTTACATTCCAGGACCACCTGTGAAAAGTGAAAATCCGCAAAGTAGAGATGCTATATATGTATATCGCATTCCGAGGGTGAGGCAGAAGCGAGGAGAGATTTAAAGGTACCACGCACCTCTTTTTTTTGCTAGCTATCTCTGCTTTGCTTTGCAATCTCTCTTGATTGACTGCCTCTCTCGAGAGAGAGAGAAGGGTGAAACTCCCTTCCACACTCCATTGTTGCCAGAAGGCGGGATTAGAACGCCGCTCTGGGCAACAGAAACTATTCATAAATTGGGAGGCAAAAACCCGTGAAACAGCAAGTCCGTGAAAAACGAACTGCGAAGTAGTGAGGGAATACTGTATATGCCGGTCCAGTTCCAAGCACAATTCAAAGTGCTGGTCTTGGCTTATAAAGTCCTATACGGCTCCAGCCCAGCTTACTTGTCCGAATATATCTCCCTCTATGTTCTGCCTCGTAATTTAAGATCCACCAGGGAGGCCCTGCTCTCGGTCCCACCAGCCTCGCAAATGCGTCTGGTGGGGATGAGGAACAGGGCCTTTTCGGTGGTGACCCCTCACTTGTGGAATTCGCTCCCCAGTGAGATCAGATCAGCGTCCTCCCTCCTTTCCTTCAGGAAACAACTAAAATCGTGGTTTCGGAACCAGGCTTTTGGCTAGCAGGGACAACAACACTTTTAACATTGAACTGGACCATTGATTGTTAATATAATGGAAATGGCCACATAAGTGCATAAGTAATGTTATTGTTTTTAATCTATTGTGTATTTATGGTTTTGTGATATTGCGGCATCGAATTGTTGCCAGTGTCAACCCCCCTCAGGGGTTGAGAAGCACACATAATAAAATACAGGTAAATACATTTTTTGTGCCACAAAAATGGCAAACCTTTACAGCATCCAAACTAACACATTCTACAAAGATCAGGAAATAACATACAGATAAAAATGGCATATAGATAAAAACAGGTTAAACAGAGAAATATATGACTATAGCCCAGGTATGGGCAAACTTGGGCCCTCCAGGTGTTTTGGACTTCAACTCCCACAATTCCTAACAGCCGGTAGGCTGTTAGGAATTGTGGGAGTTGAAGTCCAAAACACCTGGAGGGCCCAAGTTTGCCCATACCTGGGCTATAGCCCCTGGATTACTACTTTCACCCTTTTTTACTCTCTCTCTCTATTTTCCCATTCATTTGCTTTTCCAGGGATGTCTCCCTCTAACTCCAAAAAACTCACCCTTTTGGGGATGATGAATGGATGAAATTAGATTCCCATCATTTTAGAGACCAGCCAGTCTTCACTCTCCTCTTTCAATCCCAGTTAGTCCCCAACCAGGAAAGAAACACAGCGACTCACCTGAAACTTTTAAAACTCCTCCAAAGAAGTTCGAAACTCCAATGTCACGTCTGCGCATGCGTCACTCACTCTCTGCTGCCGGCGGCAGTTTCATTTCCTCCTTCGTCGGAGGGGGAATAAAGGGGCGTGGCTTAGATTAGGCCCCGCCCCTGTGTTATTAAAGTGGATCAACCCTATTGAAAGAAAGCAGATTGACACTTCTTTTGCCCAATGAGAAGGGAGTGTGCGAGTTGTAGTTTTGCAAGATCTTTATTTTGCCATAGAGGCAAATTAATATATTGTATACATATATAATATTAATAATATTAATACCAATAATAATACAATATAATAATCATATATTTAATATTACATGTAATATTACTAATAATGTTACAGTATATGAGTCGCCTTTGGGCTTGAGATACAGCGGTATATAAGCAAAGTAAATAAATAAATAAATAAATAATACTGGTATAGTACAATATGGGAATGTATGTTACTAATATTGTGCTATGCTAATAATATAATATATTGTATTTACATATAACTTGTAAGCAGCTCTGATTATAATATTATAATATTATATATTTAATATTATAAGCAAAATAATTATATATTATATTATATATATTATGTTATAATATTATATATTTGATATTATAATTATAATAATTATATATTTAATATTACATGTAATATTACTAATAATGTTACTGGTATAGTACAATAGAGGCAAATTAATAAATTGTATACACATATAATATTGATACTGATACTAATAATATATTATAATTATAATTATATATTTAATATTATAATATTATATATTTAATATTATAATTATAATAATTATATATTTAATATTACATGTAATATTACTAATAATGTTACAGTATACTGGTATAGTACAATAGAGGCAAATTAATATATTGTACAATATAAATTAATATATAGTACAATAAATTAATGTATAGTACAATAGAGGCAAATTAATATATTGTATACACATAATAGAATATTGATACTAATACTACTAATAATAATATATTTTATAAGTATAATAATTATATATTTAATATTATATTATATATTTAATATTATAATTATAATTATTATATATTTAATATTATAATTATAATTATTATATATTTAATATTACATGTAATATTACTAATAATATTACAGTATACTGGCCTAGTACAATATGGGAATGTATGTTATTAATATTGTGCTATGCTAATAATATAATATACTGTATTTAAATATAACTTGTAAGCCACTCTGAGTTCCCTTTGGGGTGAGAAGGGCGGCATATAAATGTCAGAAAATAAATAAATAAACTGCAACCCCCATGATTCCATACCATTAAGCAAAGTGGTGTCAAACTGCATTAATTCCACAATGTAGATGCACCCAAGGGCAGTGTGAAGCTGAGCATTCATGGGTCACTTCCTCCAAATGCAGTGTTTTTCAAACGCTGGTCTTCCAAATGTTTTGGACTTCATCCCCCAGAATTCCTAGCCCTTGGCCAAGCTGGCTGGGGCTTATGGGAGCTGAAGTCCAAAAAAACAAACACCTAGAGAACTAGAAAGTGGGGATCAATGGCACAAAGGTCTCTGATGTCCTCTGAGCTTGGCAACTAAGCAGGGTCAGCCCTGGTTAGTATTTGGATAGAAGACAGCCAACAACACCATGCCATGTAGGATATAGTTCAGGCTCCTTCTACGTTGCCATATAAAATCCAGATTGTCTTTGAACTGGATTAAATAGCAGTGTAGAAAGGACCTTGGGGGCTATCACTTTGGATGCATCTGCAGCAATTTAATGCAGCTTGACACCACTTTAACCATTATGGCTAAATGCACCCTTATCCTGGGAGTTGTGTATTTTGGTGACCTCTGACCCCATCTATACTGCCATATAATGCACTTTTAAAGATTATCTGGCAGTGTGGACTAATATAATCCGGTTTAAAGCAGAAAACCTGGAATCAGATCCTGGGATACAGGGCCTGTCTGGAAGGGCCTTGGCAGTAAAATGCAGTTGCAAACTGCATTATATCCCAATGGTGCCCAAACCGCTGTCGTTGGTCTTTAAGGGGTGCATTCACACTGTCGACTTAATTCAGTTTGACACAGCTTGAACTGCTATGGCGAATCCAGCGAGTTGGAGTTTTCCCAAGGGCTTTAGACCTCCCTCTGCCAAAGAGTGCAAATGCCTCGCCAAACTACAACTCCCAGGGTGCATCCACACTGTTGACTTAATTCAGTTTAACACCGCTTGAACTGCTATGGCGAATCCAGCGAGTTGGAGTTTTCCAAAGGCCTTTAGACCCCTCTGCAAAAGAGTTACGTTGCCTCGCCAAACTACAACTCCCAGGGTGCATCCACACTGTTGACTTAATTCAGTTTGACACCGCTTGAACTACTACGGCGAATCCAGCGAGTTGGAGTTTTCCCAAGGGCTTTAGACCTCCCTCTGCCAAAGAGTGCAAATGCCTCGCCAAACTACAACTCCCAGGGTGCATCCACACTGTTGACTTAATTCAGTTTGACACCGCTTAAACTACTATGGCGAATCCAGCGAGTTGGAGCTTTCCCAAGGCCTTTAGACCCTCCTCTGCCAAAGAGTGCCAATGCCCCGCCAAACTACAACTCCCAGGGTGCATCCACACTGTTGACTTAATTCAGTTTAACACCGCTTGAATTGCTATGGCGAATCCAAGGAGATGTCATTTTCCAAAGGCCTTTAGACTATCACCCCTCCCTCTGCCAAAGCAGCGAGTTGGAGCTTTCCCAAGGGCTTTAGACCTCCCTCTGTCAATGCCCCGCCAAACTGCAACTCCCAGGGTGCATCCACACTGGTGTCTTAATTCAGTTTGATACCGCTTGAACTGCTATGGCGAATCCAAGGAGATATCTTTTTCCAAAGGCCTTTACACTATCACCCCTCCCTCTGCCAAAGAGTGCTGGTGCCTGGCCAAACTACAACTCCCAGGATCCACTGAGCCAGGGCCGTTCAAGCGGTGCTAATCTGCGTTGGCTCTGCAGTGTAGACGCGCGGCCGCCAGCGACGCCAACCCGGGGAGGCGCCGGCGACGAAGGGGAGGTTTTTCCCGGCCTGGAAAGGGAAGTGACGCCTGGCAAAGGGTTCCCGGAAGCGACTGGCTCCTGAATGCGAGGATGACCGTGTTTTCACTTTTTTGATGCAAGTTGCAGAGGAAACAGGGGAAAAAAGGTAAACAAGAGGAAAGGTAAACAGAGGTGGCGGGAGCAGAAAAAGGGAGGGGATCCGATCTGTGGGATCCGAGATCTTTACAGGCTGATCTCCCCCCAAAAGTGGGTATTTGCCCACCCCCACAATAATAATAATAATACAAAAACACCCGAGGAGGATCGCCCCCTCCCCCTTGATTTGCAGCCTTTTGGGGGGTCCCAAACACTGTAGAAATAATGCAGTTTGTCCCCGCTTTGACTGCCATGGCTTAATGGGATTTGTAGTTCGCAAAAATTACAAAACCCCAGAATTCCATCGCATTGGGACATAGCAGTTTCAAGTGGTGTCAATCCAGTCTGGGCAAACTTGGGCCCTCTGGAAGTTTTGGACTCCAACTCCCACAATTCCTAACAGCCGGTAGGCTGTTAGGAATTGTGGGAGTTGGAGTCCAAAACTTCCAGAGGGCCCAAGTTTGCCCATGCTTGGTCTAAAGCCAGCCTTGGAGAGAGGGATATACACTTGGATGAAGCCTCTACCCTCCAGGTGTTTTGGACTTCAACTCCCACAATGCCTAACAGGCTGTTAGGAATTGTGAGAGTTGAAGTCCAAAACACCTGAAGGGTCAAAGTTTGCCCATGCCTGGTCTAGGAAGCTATCATCATAATCACCCCCCTCTTTTCTCTCTTGTTTGAATCCCAAAGTGGTGGGAAAGTAGGGTAGAGGATAGTTTTTGCTTTGCCTTTTACTCTGGAAGGGTGCATCTACAACATATGTGTCAAACTCAAGACCCAGGGCTGAATCTGCCCCTCTATGTCATTTTAAATGGCCCTCCAAATGCGGGGACTACAATTCCTGTATTCCTTATCATTAGACATCATGATTAGAGTTGTGATACACAGAGGGCCCTTCCACACAGCCCTATAACCCAGAATATCAAGGAAGAAAATCCCACAATAACTGCTTTGAACTGGGTTATCGGGGGGACGGGGACGGGGACGGGACAACGACTCAATACATGTAGACAGAAAAAAAATCAAAGATCACCAAAAACTAACATATAAATATAAATTAATATCTTTTAATAATAATATTTTTTAATCATGTCAGAAGCGACTTGAAAAACTGCAAGTCGCTTCTGGTATGAGAGAATTGGCCGTCTGCAAGGACGTTACCCAGGGGACGCCCAGATGATTTGATGTTTTTATCATCCTTGTGGGAGGCTTCTCTCATGTCCCCGCATGAGGAGCTGGAGCTGATAGAGGGAGCTCACCTGCCTCTCCCCGAATTCAAACCTGCGACCTGTCGGTCTTCAGTCCTGCCAGGGTTTAATCCACTGCGCCATGGGGGCTCCAATAATAATAATAACAACAACAACAACAACAACAACTTTATAGACTGCACTATCTCCCCGAAGGAACTCAGGGTAGTTTCCAACAAATATGGCAAACATTCAGTGCCAAAAGGAAAACCATACAAACAATTTACAAGACAAGGCACAGTAGACAATATAGAACAACCAACTATAACTTAATAAACAAAATAGCAAACAAAAAAAATCATAAATAACACTAAAAATATAAATATAAAGCCAACAACATTGGGGCTTCATCAGAAGAGGTTGAACAATAGCAATGGCCTGGAGTACTAAAATAGACATAATCAGGTAGAAAAGAGCTGGGTGAGGGATAGTGCAGACAACATGTCATAGGGCCGGGGAAGTGGATGAAGTGGAGAACGGAGTACCATCTAGCAACCTAGGGACTGGACCTAGGGACTAGTCGTTCCCAAAAGCTTGCTGGAACATCCAGGTTTTCAGTTGAGGGCTTGCCTAAAACCATTAAACAAGAGACATAAAGAACATTTAAGCATTAAAAACATTTAAAACATCTTAATATAAGTATTACAGTAGAGTCAGCAGAACACTGGATAAACGAAAATGTTGGATAATAAGGAAGGATTAAGGAAAAGCCTGTTAAAAGTCAAATGAAGTTATGATTTTACAAATGAAGCAC